TTGTAAATGGGCCATCATGCATGCTTCCCACGTATTATAGTAGTTGTTGTTGAGTTTCTTGATTCCTCCTACGATTTGGAAGTCACCCATCGTGTTGACAATACCTCAATAATACCAAACAAGCCTTTTCGACACAAGATTTGAGTCATTGACTACTCATGACACAAAGAAACTCACTCACTAATAATTTCAAGAAATCGTTTCAGAAGTAGAAGATCAGACAGAGCTGTAGCCACAGAGCATACTAAGAATTTCAAGAGATCAGACAACCTATACTAACCTCGCTCTGATACCAGATTGTTGAACACAACTCTTTGTGGGAAAGACTCGCACTCTATATTAAAACCTACCGAGAAGAGAAGACAAGACAATTGAACACAACTCTTTGTGAGAAACACTCACTCTTTATTAAGACCAATCGAGAAGAGAATACAAGACACTTTGTAGAATACTACTACTTTATATTGCTTGTGATTTCTTGGGATGAAAAACTAGGTAGGGTCGAGGGGTATTTATACTATACTCTACGCAATCTAAACCTAACAAATGTAAATCTTTTTCCTAAAATATCGAGATCTCTTTCTTAAAATCTCATCTAAAATAAATATACAATGGGCTCATACAATTATTGGGCTTGACGCTATTGGGCTAGTGATGATATTTTAACACCGCACACCATTTACCTGTAACCAACGTCAAATACGTGTTGATCAACACGAAGAAGAGAAGTTGATGCAACTACTCATGAGGCTCAATGAGTCTTATAAAACAATGAGATCTAACATATTGATTTTGACTCCATTACCTAATGTGAGGCAAAACCTATTCATTACTTGTACAAGAAGAGATGCAGCATCTGATAACTTCTGAACCTATTGAGAATTTCTCGATTGCATCAGCAATGCAGAAGAAAACAACATATTTAAAATTTGCCAAGGACAAATCATGTGAACACTGCAATAAAAGTGGTCATACAATTGTTGAGTGTCGAATCTTTAAGCTTCATGGTAAATTTTGTGATAGGAGGGGACATAAAAAAGTTATATGTAGACAAAATAATTCTGGAAGGGCAGTACAAGTCAATCAACGCAACAATCGTGGATATCGATCATCTGCAAATATGGCCGATGTTTCTCTATTGAATACAAAAGAACAGTCACCTAATTCTATCCTAAATTTTTCTTCTAAGCAATTACAACAAATAGCACAAGCCTTGTCTACACTCAATCATCGTCCTTCTGGTAATTCTGACAATAATATCAATGTTGCTGGTTTGTTTCAAATATTTGCATTATCTATTAACTCTAAAAGTTCTAATCCATGGATTCTCGATAGTGGAGCTACGGATCATATAGTATCCAAAGCTTCTATTATGACTGAACCAAAGACTTCCACCATATCTATAATAAATTTTCCTAATGGAGGGACAGCACATGTGTCACATACGGACAATGTTTTCTTTAATTCTGACCTTAAATTAAACATCGTTTTATGTGTGCCTTCATTCAATTTAAACCTAATGTTTATCAGCAAACTTACCAATGACTTGAAATGTTATGTCGCCTCTATCCTGATTTTTGTGTGATGCAGGACTTGGCTACAGGGAGGATGATTGGCTCGTGTAAACAATTCGGAGTCTCTATCATATTTCACAATCTCCAATCAAATCTTCAGCTCACCAAGTATCTCAGTCATCTGATTTGTGGCATTTATGCCTAGGTCATCCTTCTTTTTCTCGTTTTAAATTTCTAGCTGAGCAATTGCATCTTAATAATGCTATTTTTTCTCATAACGGTAGTATTTTCCCATTAGCAAAACAAACTAGGTTGTCTTTCCCAAGAAGCTCAATAACAATCCATTTTGCCTTTGATATGTTACATTGTGATGTTTGGGGACCACATAAAATTTCAACACTGCGTTTTTTTCTCACTATTGTTGATGATTTTACACGATGTACTTGGGTTTTTCTTATGCAACATAAATCAGAAGTACATCATTTGTTAATGAACTTTTTTAAATTCGTTCAAACTCAATTTCATACTACTTTCAAGATAGTTAGATCACATAATGGGACTAAGTTCCTATCTTTGCAACCATTTTTTACTTCACGTGGCATTGAATTTCAGCGACTTGTGTCTATACTTTACAACAAAATGTTGTCGTAGAACGCAATAATCGGCATATCCTAAATGTAACTAGGTCTATTCTCTTTCAGTCACAAGTTCCACTTAATTTTTGGGGAGAGTGCATTTTAACTACGTTTATCTTATAAATAAAACACCATCAACATTGTTATCTAACAAGACACCCTTTGATGCACTCTACAAAGGATCACCTACATTTCACTATCTTAAAGTTTTTGGTTATAAGTGTTATGAAACTGTAGTACACCCTAAGCAAAAATTTGAAACTCGGACAATTCCTTGTGTTTTCTTAGGATATCCTTGTGGTAACAAAGGTTACAAATTGTATGACATGCCATCTAAAAAATTCTTTATCAGTCGTGAGGTTAAATTTTGTGAAGATGATTTTCCTTCTTCATCAGCTTCACAAACTTTAACATTAGCTCTTTTAACTCCCATTTTACCACTTCATGATTCATCCTACTCAAACATCCATATTAGTTTTCCCCCACATTTTATTCCTTCACTTACTACTTTGTCGTCTCCTCCGCCTTCTATTCCTTTTCAAGATTCACCCACTAATTTTGATCTTATCATATCTGATACATTAGTTCCACTCCGATGTTCTACTCATATAAAACAATCTTCAGCTTGTCATAATGATTATGAGATGTCTTCTGGAGCCAATCATTTAACCTCTAACTCAAGTCCCAACACTAGCACCAGATATCCCCTTCATGATTACTATAAGACCCGAGCCTCAATGGAAAGTTTAAAAATCTAATTTTTCCTTTTATGTTGAACTTCTAATATTTTGTTGAGGGTCTTAGAGACCAAATTTGGAGATGAGGTAGCATACAAATATACTTGAAAATAATAGAAGAACTTAGGAAAAATATAAAAAAATATGATAGAAAATTAGAAATATGGTCAAAGTCAACTGGAGGGTAATTTGACCATTATACTCTCGCTTCTAGTAACATAGGATTAAAAGAAGAAAAAGAAAAATAAAGAGGAAAAGGAAGAGAAGGAAAAATGGCAGAAAAGAAAATAATAGAAATAGGGAGAGAGAAAATTCTAGAACTAGAAGGAAAGTTCTAGATAGAGAAGGAAAGCTCTAAAGAGAGAGAGTGAGGTAACCGCCGGCCACGAGGATTCGGGTTCCGGCCGAGCCTTCTTCATAAAATCTTCACAGAATCAGGAAAGAACAATTCTCTCAAATCGTCCAAAACCATCAAGAATCGAAGAAAATCCGTAGGTAAGTTCTTGAACGGTTGTTTTCAGATTTTCCTCAGATTTGTTAGAAATAGGATCGAAAAGAGGAGTTCCAACTTTCCATCAATGATGTGAGTATTGATATCTCTTGTCACCTTTGGACTGAGTTTATTACCAATGTGGTTAGAAATAAATTACAAGAAAAATAGCTATATGTAGATGAGTATGAGGTCTATAAATCTCGTGAAGTAATCATATTAATCCAAATTATAGAAAGAAATACGAAAACGCAAAGAAAATAGGAAATAATCGGTTTTCTAGAAAATCGCAGAGATGTGAGGAAGAAGACGAACGACAAAGGGACACGTGTCAGGCAAAGAGAGGGTCGCGCATCGCCGAAATGGTTGAGACGTGTGAATGTTTGATTAATCCACCACACCCAAATGGTGGTGAGAGTTCTCTTATTTATAATCATTTACAGAATACAGAAATAAGGTAAATTACAAATAATAAGGAAATAGCGATAAAAGGAAAGAATAATAAATGAATACAATATATTTGCATTTAGTAAAAGAGAAAATATGGTAACCCGTAATGTAAGGAAAATATCTAGATATTTGCCTTAATGAACGGTCAACTATCCTTAACACCCCCCCGCAAGCTGAGCGTCGGATTTGAACGAACATGAAGCTTGGATCTGAAAAATTCAAAGAGAGGTCGAGAAATACTCTTTGTGAAGATGTCAGCAACTTGGAGATGAGAGGGTACATATTGTGTACGAAGTTTGCCAGCGATAACAAGTTCTCGAAGGAAATGATAATCTAGTTCAACATGCTTGGCCCGCTTGTGAGAAACAGGATTAGAGCTCAAAAAAATAGCACTTTTGTTGTCACATAAGAGTAAGGGCTGCTGTGAAATAGGGACCTTGAGGTCATGCAAAAGATGCGTAACCCAAAGAAGTTCAGCAGCAGTTGTGGCAAGAGCACGATACTCAGATTCACAGCTGGAGCGTGATACAGTAGGTTGCTTTTTGGCACTCCAAGAAATGAGATTGTTACCAAGATAAATAGAATAGCCGGATGTAGAACGACGAGTATCGGGACAACCAGCCCAGTCAGCATCCGAATAAGCGACTAGCGTACTAGGAACAGTGGATGGACGAAAGATAAGACCAAAGTGGAGTGTTCCTTTGACATAGCGAAGAATACGTTTGACAGCAAGAAAGTGATCTGCAGTAGGGGCATGCAAGAATTGACTGACAGAATTGACAGCATAGGCAATATCTGGACGCGTGATAGTCAAGTACTGAAGGGCGCCAACAAGAGATCTGTAGAGAGTAGGATCAGAGAAAGGAGAACCATCAGCAGTCAGGTGTTGAGAAACAACCATGGGAGTGTGAACTGGTTTGCTATCGAGCAACTGAGCACGAGTAAGAATATCTCGAGCATATTTTAACTGACTGATAAAGAGACCATCAGGAGTGGGTGAAGCTTCAAGACCAAGAAAGTAACTGAGAGAACCCAAATCTTTGGTAGCAAACTCAGAATGAAGCTTGCGAGTAAAGCTGTTAATAAGAGATGAGTTGTTGCCGGTAACAATAATGTCATCAACATAAAGAAGCAAATAGATAAGGTTAGATTGCTGATGAAAGACAAAAAGGGACGTGTCAGCGCGACTACAAGAAAACCCAAGTGTGAGAAGAAATGAGCTAAAACGCTGAAACCAAGCACGAGGAGCTTGCTTTAAGCCATAGAGAGCTTTCTTTAATAGACAAACATGCTTTGGAAATCGAGGATCAACATACCCAGGAGGTTGTTCCATATGAACACGTTCAATAAGCGTTCCATTGAGAAAAGCATTCTTGACATCAAGTTGTCGAAGAGGCCATTTATTTGTGACTGCAATAGAAAGCACAACACGGACAGTGGTAGCTTTGACAACTGGACTGAAAGTGTCAGTGTAGTCAAGACCAGGAACCTGAGTATAACCTTTGGCAACGAGACGAGCCTTGAAACGCTCGACGGATCCATCGGGCAAATATTTAATACGAAACACCCATTTAGAGCCCACGATGTTGGTGTTGGCAGGGCGAGGAACCAAAGTCCAAGTATCATTTTGTTGTAACGCTCGAATTTCTTCATCCATGGCAGCCACCCAAGCAGGATTCTTAGCCGCAGATTTGAATCCTTTTGGCTCAGTGGATGCAAGAAGAGCAGAGAGAAGTCCAGATGAGCCCAACATACCAAGATTTGCTGGATGACGAGTCTTGAATATACCAGCTTTGGCGCGTGTGATCATAGGATGAGTGCCCAAAGAAGAGAAATCAACAGGAGGTTCAATAGAGGTTGAATTAGAAGTCGAGGGTGACAAAGTGGAACCTGCAAGAGAAGTATCAACCTGCACAGACTCATCTACAAGGTCAGAACAAATATCACACGGGGATGAACTGGATTGAGGAATGTGCGGTGATGAAGTGGTAGGGGGGGATGAATCAATATGATGAAGATGTGGTTCCAAGAAATTTGAAATAGGAATAGTGGAAAGAGGTTGGGCTTGGGAGCTAGGGATAGCAGGAAAGTGAGTTTCATCAAATTGAGCATGGCAGGTGATATATAGCTTAGTGGTGGCGGGATCAAGACAGCGGAACCCTTTATGAACAGGACTATAACCCAAAAAAATACAAGGAATGCTGCGGGGAGAAAGCTTGTTAGGCATATAATCACGCAAATAAGGATAAACACGACAACCAAAGGGATGAAAATTGTCATAATGTGGAGTGTAGCCATAAAGGAGTTCAAAGGGTGACTTACCTCCAAGAAGTGGAGTAGGCAACCGGTTGATAATATAAGCTGCAGTGCTGAAGGCGTCAACCCAAAAACGAGGAGAAAGATGAGAGTGAAAGAGAAGGGCCAAGCCAGTCTCAGTCACATGACGATGTTTTCTCTCAACACGACCATTTTGAGCAGGTGTATATGGACAAGAGAGTTGATGGTGGATGCCAGAATTACGTAAATGAGTTTTGAAACAAGTACTAGTAAATTCGGTACCACCATCGCTTTGAAATACCTTGATACGAGAAGAATATTGATTTTCCACAAATTTTTGAAATTGAAGAAAAATATCAAAAAAATCAGATTTAAATTTTAAAGGGTAAAACCAAGTGAATCGAGAATAATCATCAATAAAAATAGCATAATAAAGAAAACCCGAATTTGATTTGACGGGAGAAGGACCCCAAAGATCACAATGAATAAGATCTAACACATGAGACGACCTACGTTCATTGCGGGAATAAGGCAATCGATGGCTTTTCGCAAGCTGACAACTATTACATAATGATGGAGAAGGCAATAAAGACGTAAGAGAAAGATGACCTTTTTTATTTAAAAAAGAAATAACAGAATGATTCACATGACCCAGACGAGCATGCCATAAATCATATGAAGCACGTAAAGATTTGTTTTTAAGGGCTGAAATAAAAGCAGAGTTGCCGCGCTCCAGCACATATAGCCCTCCATCTCTTTTACCGGTTGCCACCACCCTTCCTGTTTGATGATTCTGGATAGTAATAAGATTATTAGTAAATGTAACGGAGAGAGGAAAATCAGACATTAATTTACTTATGGAAAGAAGATTTTTAGTGAGGTGAGGGACAACCAAGACATCTAATAAGTGAATATTTGGAACAGGAGAAAGAGTACCGATGTGGGTAATGGGTAGGGATGCACCGTTT